ATATACATATATATGTATATGATAGTAATTTTATAACTATACAATTATATATATATGTAAGATAAATATATAAACAGAATAAATGAATAAATATCTTTATTGTTATATTTTCCTAATGATTCTATTCGCTATTCTACGTTCAAGTATAGAACAGCACTTGGACATTCGAGGAAAACAATATGATACCATGTTGCAGGAAAGTGCACGCGCAGCAGCTCGAAAGAACGCGGAAGAGGATTCGATGCTCGAAGAAGAAAGTTCAGATTAACCTGACGAGGGAAGAGCTCGAGGAGTGTGAAGAAGAAGAATAAGAGGAACGGAAAGTAACCGCGGAGTGCGAGCACGTGCACTGCACGCATACAGGTATGCGTGAGAAAAGTTCACAGTCGGAAATCTAACGTATTGGTGGAGAGATGGAAAGGCAACGCCTGGCCAGAATGACGGATGAAAAGGAATACCAACGTTGGCATCTTGCAGCGATCGGAGATTAATCTTCATGATCATCCGTTCGACTGGAGTGGCGGCAGCGTGCCGGCTGCCCGTTTTACCTCTCGACTTTTAACTCGATCTAATCATCAACGGATCATCAAATGGTTTGACTCTCTTTCGAAAGTTATTGACTGCTAACTATATGCAACTATGCTAATTTTCGCTGGCCTCGCATTTTATCAATGTACGTGTAAAGCATGTTAATCCGTTCGTTCGACCATGTGGTTATAGGTATTTCAAATATTTATTGAAAGACCCAAGTCTATCGGTCTGTGACCCTTCATGCCTGTGAGGTGTGAAAAGCACCTTTCGAGAGAAGTTGCTTCAATGTTTGTGGATCATCATATTTCACGTACTCTTGCTAGTTACGTAGTAGTAAAGTATGTAGTAGTGTAGTATAAAATGTACATAGTTATATAGTAGTAGATAAGTTTCTAGACTGACTGTATATCCCGTCGGGTTCATGCGAATATATTACACGAATACAATACTCATATAAATGAGATAATGTATTATATTACGTAGGAAATGTATAATGAGAGAGAGGAAATCTTTTATTGTCTGGACAAAAAGTAAGAAAAGTACCGACATAAGATGTGTTAAAATTATCTGAAAGATTCTCCAATTCTATAATAACATACAAGACAATTTAAATGTTATTTATAACAATCCTTTGTATAGTTACGTTAAAAAGTTATATTTACAGAGCGCTCGTATCCGATCCATGTTGGACTTATAAAGAGAAAGAGACAAGACACACTACTCATAAATTTCAATGCACCAAATCTCAATGCCCGCGTGGGCCTTGACTCGAACTGCATTTATCATTCTAACATGATGTAATTAAGTTCTTCCTTCCTGTCCAAGATAGATCTTGCTATCCATCCTGCATGGAACTGACGAAATCTATTCGCTTTCAGAGCCAAGATAAAGAAAGTGAATTGATGGAATCTGGATTTTAATTTCACGCGATGGCGCTTTTCAGATTGCGCTTCGCGCTGTCTTGTAATTTACAATGTACCGTGTGTCGTTACATAAGGAGAATTTAAGATATACATATTTAGTATTTGTTTTAAAAGTTAAAATAGATAAAAAATAAATAAAAAATATAAAAACTGATATTGATGTAACTTGTCTCAAATACCGTTATTTTGCTCGATAATTTAACTTATTCCGACGTAATATGAGAGGTTTCCAATCGTCAAACCCTCCAGGCTAAATTGTCCGTTTTTTTTGGTACTTGTTGCGTCATTAAGGAAACATTACAGCCTTTTGGATAAACATATATCCCACATAATATTCTTCAAAATTGAGCGCACGCAATCCCAATTATGTCAATTATTAGCGTATCGGTACACGCTGCAAATTATCCTTTGGTTCTTAGCCTGCTTTAATTATAAGTTTCTCCTCTTGAAAAGTCGAGAATTTAATAATTTATAATTGATTATTTCCGCAAAATTACAACTCATATCAAATCTAATGCGAAAATCAAATTATGTCTCCCATTCGCAGAAATATAAAATTATAAATATATAAACTGTTGAACCGATTTTTCTTAGGAAGTATAATATTGAAAATAATAATATAATTATACGTATACCTGTAAATGTATATAGACACTGTTTTTCATATTATAAATCAAGGCAACATTTTAACATTCGTGAACTATTTGCCATGGAAAGATGTTCAAAACTCAACATTCTCGCATTGGCAGTTGAATATTGTCTTTTCTGGTCTAAAAAGGAATTCAAAATATAAGCAGTAAACCGGTTGATAACCGGTTTGGTTTCTCCAACAAATTTGGAAGAATTTCCATGTAAATTTTCTATATAAAGCATTTCCATATGAAGCAAATTTAAATTGTGTTTGTTGTGAGAAACATATACATGAAAACGTATACTGATTGTCATAGATTATCGTAAAATCAGATTATTTATTGATTATTAATTACTGATTTGTGCATTAAGGCAAAACCAATCTTTATAAATGTGTATTTCCTGTAATTATATAATCTAATAAAGTTGCGAAAAAATTAAAATATCACTTTTTTATGACAGAAAATATCATTTAGGTAGCTCACGCTAGATTAAAGCGACAAGAAGTATATTTGTTATTACTACAAGTACCGCGATCGGTCTAGCAATTTTGCAATTATTGTTGGTGTGAGTATAGGTTACGTAAAAGAAATAAAAATCGGTAGGAAGGAATGAAATCGCGGCAATAGTGGCCGCTGGAACGACATCATCGATTCCGCGCCGTGTCAACCTTATATAGCACTGACATTCCCTTACGGCTCATTAAATCCACAAGCCACTGCCAGGGAACGACATTGGCGAGCAGACAGACGTGGAAGAGGAAAAAAAAGGATAGAACGAAAGCCGCGGAAAAACGTGGATGGCCGTATGCCCAGGCATGTCCTTAAGTTCCAAGCGGATCTTGAATGGAAGGAGCACGGAAGTAACGAGCGACATACTTCTTGCCGTTTGTACCGAGGGTAATGACGGGCGCGAGAGGAACGTCCACAGTAGACGTATTAGCGTGAATGACTCTCGTTAGGAAGAGCTGTAATAACTTTACTTCCCATATAATCAAAGACTTGCTTTAATCTTCGCAATCAACACGCGCTACGCTTTATCATTTTAGAATTAGTTTAACTATTAAAGTCGTGTGGTACGCATTATTAATTAATCTGAGAGAGAGAGGTCGATTTTATTATACTCTCTCATTTTCTTGCGATTAGTAATTTGCTGTTCACGTTACTGTTTAGATTACGATCACGATTACAGTGAAAAATTTTCAATAACTCTTAGGACGCGACGTATATAAAAACAGTTTTTGAAAATATTTTAAATATTGGAAATAGTGTATTTTATATTAAAAAATATATATTATAAATATTGGAAGAATGAGTAAATGGGAAAAAAGAGAAAATTTATTTTCTAAACACAAACTAACGCAAACTATAAGAAGAAACTTAGGTTCCCTTGACTATTGTTTCAGTCACGTAGCCCTTTCGTCGTCTACGCACAAGAAACTCGATTATCTTAAGTACGTAGTCTTACGCATTGGTCCTTTGTTTCTAAAGATCGAGGAAACCAAGTCTTGACTTGGAAGATTGCTTTCCTCGACTTGGAAGCTGAGGTTTCGTCAAAGCGAATCTCTGGCGGACATTCTGCGTTGCCAGATGCGCTAATTGGCGTAGTTACATGCTTGTGGAGATGTATGTACATTTCTCTAATTAACTAATTGGATTACGCGAGAACCATAAACATTGCGTTATGATCTGTAACGAAAACATGACAATCATTTGATCGTTAACGTCTCGTTACATACATTAACTTGTTACTCGTTTTAATCATAACTTTACAAAAAAAATAAATTGTTTGTCATCAAGCGAGGATCAGTGAAAACTCGTTCTAAATGGATGTGGACAGTCCGAAGACTGGAATCCTGACTAAGCTGTATAATTGGCTTCAGTGCGGGTCCAGATCTGGACTTAGACTTGGAGTCAGTCCTTGCTGTCTCGCATAACGCAGCGTTGCCAAGTGAAGAATTTTATTACATACTAAATATAAGAAACAATATTTAGTAAATAATTTCTCAACGGTTTTTGTAAATTTATCTAAACTCTTAAATGATAAAATAAAGTAGCTACCAAAGAATATCATAAAGATATTATGTACAAACTTTGTGTAAAAATACAACTTTGTATATAAATTGACTTTATAATTCTTTTCTAAATTATCTGAGAGAGAGAGAGAGAAAGAGAGAGAGAGAGAATTGTATTTATTTTATGTAGTTTCATTCAGCAAAAATTGCAAAATATGATTATAGAATTTCATGTAATACAAAATTACGAAATTTATATTATTTTATCAATAAGTCAATATATAAAAACATACGAATATAAAATACAATATAAAGTACAAGCACAAGTAAATAATATTGCATTTATTTATTATTACTCTGTATAGTTATTTCTTTATAATGAATGTCCGCGATAAGCTACAATGTAGACACCTCGTTGTACGCATCAAGAACGTGACAAGAGTGAAGAACTATTTTAACGGAGTTCCTTATATGTCGGTGCCGATCATACAAGGAAGTGTGAACGATCTCGAGAATCTCGTTCTCACGCGCACCATTTACCATTCTGTTCAAGCTTCCTCCTGTTCGCACGCAGGAGCGATTGCATTCTTTTGATTATTGCACAAGGAACTACATAAAATAATGAAACCGAACGTAGAGGAACAAATAATTGCTAGTTTATCGATTAATTTATCAATCTTGTTATAATTTTCAACAAATCTTTTAGAGCTTGAAAGATAGAATAGAAAATATTATGTCTATCCTAAATAATAAAAAGCTATGCCATAAAGAAACGAGAATATAAAGATCGAGTCTGAACTTGAAGCAGCAAGCCACGAAAGATCCGTTCAATATTTTTTCTTCCTCCACTGCTTTCTTCTCGCCATCTTCTCCATTTGTCCCAAGAATCTCTTTTGTCCTCTCCCTTCGTTTTTTTTTCTTTCTGTTTCCTACAAGTTTTAACTCATGCTCAATCGAGCTGCGCTTGGTTAAAAAAAAACAGAGAAAGGATTTAACCGGTAAACTGTCTACATATGTTTGATTCTAGTTAACTAAATTGCCGCTGTCTAAATCGTCAAATGTGTTGAACCAACAATAATCGACTTAAATAATTGATATGTATTGTGTGATATATGAAGTTATACAAGAGAATTGCAAATTTTTATGCATAAATTTATTAATTAAATTTTAAAAGAAAAAATTTATAATTGAGGTTTAAAGTATTTGTAATACATTTATAACATATTTATATTTATTAAATAATATAGGAATATATATCGATATGCATTTCAATGTAAAAAGGGGACAAATAGTATGATAAACAAAAAAATTTTTTTAGATCACGTTTTTAAAAAAAATATATATATATATTTGCATAGAAATTCGCAATCTAATTATAAGATTCACACGATAAACATTTACGATCTTATTTTTGCAATATTATTTTTAATAATTAAGCGTGGAAATAGAGAGAAAATATGATTTCATACAAATTTCATACAAAGAGATTCTCGAATATTTATGTTATTAAATACGTATAATCTAATTGCGCGGTCAGAAATCTGTACAATGCCTAAAGGTCCAGACCCAGATCGTTAATTTCGCGCTAAGCCTAACCCTGTCATTACGTATCTTCGGCAATAAACTTTGATTATACGCTTTGCACTGAGGAAGAACACTGGGAAAGAAACTCTAAAAAGGGTAAAAAAAGAAAGAAAAGATGCGAGATGCCGTTATCACCGATAATTGGAGACGTATATGCTGCACAGCTTTATAGGAAGTGATTGTTTCTTCCTATAACTCCAAATTTTTTTTTAAATCATAGATAAAATTTAAAGATTAAAAAAAATTACGGAAATAAAATTTTTATCCCCTTCATTCTTTTTCTCTTCCTTTTCGTGATAAAAATTATCAGCCAAAGAACTAAATTATCGTCTTTATATTTTCCTTGTCATTGTTATTTCATAAAGTTTAGAGAGATAACTGAATATATAGTGGTGCAAAGAAATTAACGGTTAATCGATAAACTTACACGCCATTTCATCTATCGGATCGTTTTGCGATCAATTGAGTTCTATCACGTAATTCAAAAACACCAGTATTTTCACAGCGGCGATTTGTCGATCACGAAGGTTCAACAATCTCGTAAGAGGTATACTGAAGTATCTATCAAATGGCACTAATGGCCGTAGTGCTATGTCAAGCAGCGCGTGCGAGTCGAGAGCGTGCACACGCATAATACTTGAGTACGCGCACGTGCTCGTATCGAATGGTCGTTCAGGAACAACCTATTGATGTTTATTAAATCAATGTCAACAACCTCGATTTAAATAACCTCGAATTACGATTATCTACAGTCTCTTTAAAGCAGTATAGCAGTTGTTTCTTCGAAATAAAATTACTAATCATAATTTAGTATACATTTCAAGACAAATAAAAAGTATTTTAGTTGCCTGTGTTCAATAAAAATATTTTACGACAATTTTTCGTTTGAAACTAAATCGCACATATAATATACATAACAAAGAAAGAGGTTTACGTTTAAATATAAATTTTTGAGTTATATTATTAATTTTTCAGATTTCTTTTAAAAAACGCGTATATTACGTCACGTTAAAAATTTCAAAATAAAATGTGAAATTATATTCTTTTAATTCTCTCAAATATCAGTACTATCAAAGTATTTCTGCTGAATTTTCGTGGTATGAACAATTCTAAGTGCTGAAAATATTCATCTATTTGTTTGAATGGGAAAATTTACGCGGTTGTTTCCTACATCGCTTCGCTTTGTAACTGCTAAAATATTCATGAGTGTACCAGTCGAACGAGCGTACCCAACGCATCTCCAAACGAATCGCAGACTCCGCGCTTCTTCCCTTTCCATCCATATCGACTCTTTGACCTCAGCACCATTCTGCATAACGGTGCATCGGCCTGGACGTTTGCCTATTATGTCACTATATTCGTATAAGGATGTTGTATACGTAGTGATAAGTTCAACCTAAACAGAAGGAATTTTCCGAAGAGACGATCAATCTTCGCGATACGGTGAGAGAAATATTCGTGTCCGACTTGATGAGACCTCAATTGCAGCGTGCGTTCCCATAAACATGGGAAAAGATAGGCAGCGAATGAAAGACGTTGAATTAAAGAACGTATGTACGTTACTTTAAAGTACACATATAAAAGATGGTACAATGATAATTGTATATGTATACTCCATAATATATAATATAGAAACAATATCCAAGTTCTTAAGATAAATTAGAATTAGAATGACTCTCGAAAGAACTACCGTCAACTGTCTACCGTCATCATTATCGTCATTACCGTGATATTTCGTACATGTACTAACGTCATCACGCAGGATTTAATATATCAATAAAATGCGGATATACACGCGTACATTGCTGTATGTTCACAGATGCAATTATAGCCTGCAATTATTTCTGTGATACGTAGGAGTATCGTTTTTCCTGAGCCCTCCAGTCTGCGATAATCCTACAGTAAAAGCTGCTATTTGCAATTCGTTCCATATGAGGAGAATTTCTGTATTTGCATCGTGATACTGTCTCTGATGCTTGCTGCATCCGCGCAGTCCACTTTACCACCGACTAATTGCCATTAATTACGATTGGACACGATTTCACGGAAGGAAGAGCAGCTATCCGTAGCACCAAGATGAAGGTATGAGTAACAAAATCGTATTAAAGGTTGTAACTTTTTCATGTAAAAAATACTATATATCTGCTTTCTCATATTTTTAATCAAATATGTATTGATATATTAATTTTTCATAGCGTATTTAAAACATTAATAAACATAATCGTTATACAGAAATGTGTAAAAAAAAACACTAGAAAGTAGAAGAGGAAGATGACATTAAGGATGACAATTATAAAGAAAGGCAAAAAAGAAAAAGAAGAAAAAAAATGTGAAAGATGGTAAAAATGTTCAAAATCGATAAAAATATGCATGTTCGCATTGCTCGCATGCCGATCGGCTCACACCGTTAGACACACATTTACGATCTTATTTATGCGTCCACTTACGTACGTTGCAGGCACGTATGTATGTGGCGGACACATAATATATCGCATGTCCCAATCGAAATGCCACCCCATGTTCTATTCACTCCTCTTTTACTCGAGGGTCTCCTAACACAACGAATAGACCTGCCTGGAAATAGTCTTAACCTGTTCTCTCTCTTTCTCATCACATATGCACGCATACAGCACGTACAAATACCGCATGGAATGTAGTTCGCGTAATATTTAATAAAGACATAGGTTTCAGATATATCATTCACTTACGATACAATTTTAAAAGATTTTGATATAATAAAAACACTTGCCTAAAATTTATTTATTTATGCATAATGTGATTAACCATTATGTAACGCGATAAAAGGCAAATTTGTTCTTATATGTGTCGCTTTAATATTTTATGTTTGCTAAAGAAACTAATTACATATGTATTTTTATGGAATTTGTTTTGTCCTAGTATTTTGTCAAATAATGTTATACTAGTATGCACCAGCACATATAATATATAACTTTTACTTATATCGCGAGAACAACCCGTTCGAAATACACTTGTGTTTTTTAATGAAGGAACGTGAAGATAATTAAGAGGACCCGTCGCGTCGTGTGGCGCAAGTGCAAATTACAGAGAAAAACTTGGCATCGCGCAAAGTTTTCATCGTCCGTATAATAATCCGCTACGGGGATGTTTATTATGCCCTTGACATGCACAGCGCGCAAAAGAAAAATAAATCGACTCTGCATGTTTAGAACGCGCTCAGAGGGATTTCTTCAGGCTTATGCGCTTGCACCACCTTTCTTCTTTCGCTCATTTTTTCCCCCTCGCAACGATGCCTAGTCTTTTCCACCCTCTGTAGTCGGTGATTAACACACGAAGCGGATGGTACCCTTACCGGCGATTGCCCGCACGGAGAAAAATGACGCGAGCGAGCGTGTGTAGTAGCACGTAGTGACGACCCCTAACAAAAAGGAAAAATGCACTTGTACCCCTATAATACCAAATTACACGGCCTCTCAGAAATTCGTCGCGTCGGTATATATATAGCATATAGTTCTCGTGAGATGTTAGTATGAAACGACGCGATGTCACGCTATAAATACGAGAATTTTTATCCGCTATTTAGTTACTGAAGGATCATTAAAAAGTTTTTTATACTAACAAGTAATAATTAACATGCAATATCTTTTGCATTCGTGTTTAATATGCGTTTACACGAAAATGTTTCAAATTAAAAACTTTTTGCAACATTTCATTTGAATGTAAGTAGTACATTAAAAGCATGTATCAATTTTTATTTTTTTTAATCCGACGATTTTTATTTTATCTTATTTGTATTATTTTAGCCATATATTCGTGGATGTTTTTTTTTATATCTCTTCCTGATATTTATATACCGTTATTCAAAGTGTATTGAACACGATCTCACTTCAGACTCTATCGTCCCCGATAATAAACCGCCAAACTACGTTTATTGAACGTCACTATGGTTTATTAAAGGTAGATCATCGGACCATGACGGCTGATCGATGATGCGGTTAGTGATGCAATTGAAAATACGATCGCTAGATCTTCGATCTACGCGTGTAAAGGTAACGCAAAAAGGTGAAAGCTTAATGACGATTTACGCATCGTGTAATTCGAAAGCCTTACAGCAAACAGTCTCGATCAATACTTTCTTGCGTTTGTCTGATTCCATTCGAAGTTAATATTGACCATACTCCGATAGACTCTGGGCGTCCACTTGGACACAAACTATGTATAATAATTGGACAAAAGCGACACTTGTAAATAATTATATAATTAATTTATATAATAATTTTCTTGATCTTTCAGATATATGAGATGAAAGATTATCGCTTTAATATAATAAATTCGTTATATTAAAGCAATGTATCTTGTAATAAAAGTTCCTGAAAATAACCATCTGTCTCGACGTTGCCTAAAGCCTAAAGAAAAAGAATGCAGCAGAGCCAGGCGCAATAAGGATAAAAAGGAAGAGAGAAAAAATGATGAAATGAACAAGAATGAGCGAGACGGAAGCGGGGTGAGGAGAGAACGAGTGGAGTGGCCGAAGAGGCGGAAAGTCAATATTACGCGCGATGGGATACGTCGGAATTATTGCTGTATTAAAATTTATCGGATATTGGAGGTGCGTCTGGGTAAACTTACTTCATCGTGTACGCACACATCGTTTATGGGTTTCCAATATCCTACATATCGCAGCAAAATGCCGAGATCGTAAACGAATAGTTAAATGATAGCAAAGACGGAAGGTTTTTCCAGTTACTTAAAATTCAAACTCGATCATTAAACAAATGTCACGTGCGTTTGACTGTCAAATTCAATTTCAAGCAAAACGAATCAAAGATTGACTGTGCCTCACAAATATGTTCCTAGGTTTGCACATATTTAGTTTTCATGAAAAAGGAGAAGCTCGAAAAGAAATTTTTATATTATAAATCTAAATCACATATTATAAAATATGTTTCCAAATTGGAATATGTATTATGCAAGTCTATCATCGAGCAAATTTTGTATATACCTATAAAAAAACCATGAGTATTTGTATAAAAAAACGTGATAAGTATATGAAATGTAGGTGCAACAGGAAGTGCTCGTGACGTTTGCATTGACTACGCTTGAAACGTGCTTTAAAGAGGTACACAATATAGGGAACGTCACTCAAAGTGTCAATATTGAAGAAAATTATGAGAATATTATTAATAATGTGTAAAATATATAAAATCATACACTTGTAAATGTCACATTTTAGAAAACTAATTTTATTATGGATATTTATGATTAAATTGATTGCTCTTGTTCCGTTATTATTTTTATAAATTACTCTTACAGATATAAATTATATATATACTATATATATATATATATATATATATGTATATATGTATATAATGAAAAGAAACCATTTACAAATAACTTTTATCAAAATTCTTCATTTTCTATATTTACATACGGAATGCATTAATATTTGAGCGAATTAAAGTAATATTTTATGAAAATAAAAAAATAATTTTACTTTGGATTAAAAAATAATCTTGGTAAAAAAGATAATATTAAGATAATCTTAAAATCTTACCTAAATTCTTTATACATATTTTTCAGCGATTTACGAAAACTCACAACAATAATAATATACTGTATTGGTATCGTGCGTAAGTGAATTTCAACCGGTATGTTTATAAAATTTGCACTGAAACACTGAATCGACCACAAATCCGATGTAAACGAAACCAGCGCGCGACAACGACTGGATTCCACTGGACTCTCGCTGACATCAGACAGAGTGACTAGTCTGAGTACGCGAGTGGAGTCGCACGAAGTATGTCGGTGAGCACCGAAGGTGGCCGAAGCTTCGTTTGAAAAGCCGATTGTCGCGATGCCACACAAGTCTTTCACTTGTAAATTTTACCATGTCTAAATAAGCGCTATGCAATAAACAAATTTCTTTTAATTGTTAATTAGATATTAAGAAATTTATACATATGATTCTTAAATTTTTACAATAGAAAATTCATTTATTTCGAACAATTTTGAACGCGTGTAAAATATATGCAATTAAATATATAAATTTCAGATCTCTTAAAAATTTTAAAATTACACCTATCAAACTTATTATTAGCAAAAAAAATTTAAATCTTTAAAATTCTTAGGAAATTCTAGTTTCATTAAAAATAATAGATAAAAAGATTAGAAAAGGCAAACAATTTGTAGTACCGTATGTCTTTTGCTAATGAAATAAAAAGATGTATATGATTTTAATTGACAAACAAAACAATAACAAAAAATTCAGGACGTAATACGATTTATCTCAACAAAATATTTATTAATTTGTTGAAATTTTCAAGTGGTTTTCAACTTATTGGATAATATATTCCAACGATTTAAGATCAAAATGTTCAAGCAACGCAAACCCAAATTCTGTAAAAAAATGTCTAGAAATTATCGATCTAAAATATCTATACAATCCAATAACCTATCCTTATCAACTTCAAATGTCAATAATACTGCGTGAGTAATATTAAGATGAAATAAACAAAACTGCTTATAAATAAAATATATTTATATTATATTTAATAATACATTTTATTTATATTATAAATTAAATTTTACTTAATTTTATGATTATTTTTTAACTTTTCTTTTAGGTGTTCTAGGAAGAAATCAAAATATATATTTTCAACCGTTTCAGCGACATCAAACAAAAATTACAAATCATCTATGACAATTAAACAACCACACTTTATCACAAAAGCCCCTAAAAATGCAGCAGTGCATTTTGGAAATTTTTATGGTCTTTGGGATGATGCAGGAAAAATATATTGCAATAACCATTTAAAAAAAAAAGAAACAACGATGATTAACAGATCACATCGATTAGAATTTACTAGGCAGATGGTGCACAAGTAAAAATATTTTTTCCCTATAAAAGTAATGATTAAAAATATTTGTAAATTGTTGAGAAAAGATTTTTGGACCGAAAATTTTTCTTTAGATTAGAAAAAGCAACTGACATGGAAGATTACATGCGACAGGTGTCAGTTCTTCTGAAGAAGACAGTAGAGCCGTCCAACTTTAGGTTGAATCAATTTCTATCTAAAAATTCAATTCCTGACGGAAATCGAAGTTCCTCGGATTATCCACTGTGGTACAAGGAGCCTCATAATATATCGTTAATATTCTGAAATCCTATTGCTCAACTTAAAGCATGAGCTTTGAAAAATCTATTTCATTCGAAACAATATGGTATATTAATGTATAAAAATTTATGAAAGCTGTAATTAAAGAATATCTGAGCAAAAAGAGAATGCCATACTATATTTTGTGAAATTTCTACATTAGCTTATTGAAGATTTAGTATGTTTTGATGAAAAAATATAAAATATACTTTTATTTTTTTTCAAGATTTAATTTGGGCCTTGCCAAAAAAGAGAAATTAATTGGAAAATATACTTCTTGTAATTGTTATTTGTTATAATCGGAAAATTGTGCAATAATCTGATCTTTTTTCTAGAAAGATAACGTAATGTTGCAACGACATGTTGTATTGATTATTATTCAAGTTGCAAAGTCACGAGACAGAATTCATTTCGGTATTCATTCTGGCGCGCTAATTAAGAGCCGTGGCCATTAGTTTGCATGGTGTTATGTCGTAATTAAGCGTTGCCGGACTATTACAAATCCCGCTACTGGAATAATTAATTAGGTCTAGATGAATCATACAGGTATACACATGAAAATATAGTAATCTAACAATAAGTTTTAAGTGACGAACGACCGGAAATTCTCAATGTGCAATCACAGCCGTATTTGATTTTTCGCTTCTCTGATTGTCTCTACATAAAATTAATATTTCTAGTACAATAAGATAAAAAGGATAAATTAATATAATAAAAAAATAGTCGTGTGCAGCTTTTCCCCGAAAAAAGGCCTGTGTTGTCAGTTAAAGACTGGCGTACGTATTGTTTTCGCTTCAATGAAAATTCAAGGGGAGATGCATGGTAGGGTGGTACTTATCGATTATTCCATCCAGCGTAAAGACGAATTCCATGTATCTTTAACGAAAGCGAACAGCTAACTACCAAAACGGGGATGCCTGCAGGGTCGCGCGGATAGATGTGTTTTATTAACAAGCAAATCCTATATTGGTAGAGCGAGGAATATTCTTAGCTAGCTTTAATTCTAAATCAAATACAAAGTATGGCGATTCAAAGCAATAAAACCCGCCTGATATTTAATTTTGTTATCGTTAATTCTCTTCATTGTGTGTGTATCTGCCATAGAAATCAACACATGCAAATGCAAATATTATGCTCGATAAAATTTGAAAGCTATGAATTTCATATACCATTTGCCTTAACTAATCATATATGAAATCTCGTAAGACAATTTAAATACAAATACAAATTGTGCACGTATGTGTACGACATACAGAGCAATTTAAAAAAAGTTTAAAGAATTTAGAAACATATAGTATTTACAAAACTAGACAAAAATGTGTATGCAGAATCAATTATGTAGAAGTAGACATTTGTATATACATAGATTTATTCTTTTTCTGCAAACTATACAGCATGGTCCACGTGATTGGGAGAATCATTTAAATAAATTAACGATTATTAAGACCATTGAATGACGGGACAACATGTATGAATATGTGTGAATATAACATATACCCTTTACAAACGTACATAAAACTTCTGTAGATATTATTTTGTATAATGTGAAATGGTAATTGCAATTCGGTTCATAGTTTCATACACATCTGCATACAAATTTGTCAAATGTTATAGTTTAATTTAAATTTAAGCGACAATTGTACATCCTTGCAAGATTTGCGTCCACTTACAAATATAAATTAAGTCAGCATTAAATAAATGCTGCCATTTTTCAATAAATTTATTTAGCTCCTTTCAAAATTCTGGAAATAACTTTTCTAATGCTGAAATTGTCAACGGTAATTTTATGATTAACGTAAAGGCCAAGTTTCTAATAAATTTTTAAAAAATTTATATATAATTTGTATAATATTACATAAAATTAAATATAATATAAACTTCATTCATAAGTTATTAACATAAAAATTGAGACATTCGCAAGTAGATATTTTAATGCATATTCAATAGATTAAATATATAATGCCAACATACTCGTTTAATTATCTATAATACATATATCGTAATGCAAAAGAAAAAAATGAATTATTTAATTGTTCATGAATTTCTTATCATTCACTGAGTTTATTATTGACATTAATGATATGAGCTACTATTTTAATAGTTTCTTGTGCATCAATTATCAGACAGTCAATAAGATAATGTAAAAAAATATTACATAATTATCTCATTTCTTTTTGGCATAAAATTCTCAAATTTACTATTTCAAAAAAATATGATTTTATTCTAAAAATAATATCATATTATATGTAAATGCAACATAATAAAGAAATAAAATAACACTATTAAATATATCTAAATGAAACATAATAAATAAAAGATATTTATAAATAACTTTGCCTATCAGATATAATTATTGCATGCTATATGCCGTTTCGAATGGCGTAAAATCGAGATGTACAATGCCGCTTAAATCAGTTTCATAAAAGTTCTAGTTGCCCTGTTCAATTCTTATTAACAAAATCATTACTGGCAACCGGTTTTATAGAGGTAAAAATTGCACCATTGTCGATGAGTATGAATATTACCTTATTGAATATTGAATCAAATTAAAAGCGTGGAAATACAGTACAATACAACAATGATAGTAGTGTTTTCGGTATTTCATATATTCTACTGTATTCCACATAATATGAATTACAATTCATTCTTTACTTTGAAGCGTGGTGCAACTAGCTCTCGTCCGATTGATATTTTTGAGGCCTTCCCTAGGTCTTCTTCCATGAGTAATACATTTCCAAAGGTCGATTGACACGCCAGAATTTATCGTTTACTTGTCGTAACGTTTGTGAGCCACTTAGTACCACAAGCTGCCCGGGTGAAGGCGCGATATAGATACAGAAATTTAATAGTCTATCTGATTCTGATAGTTCAGTATCCAAATCTAACGTTAAGCGCATTGCCAAATATTTACTTAAGTGGTCCACTGCAAAAAAGAAAAATAATTCGTCATTCTATATTCTACTAAAAAAGTTCACTTTCTTGTTTTATAATTTAACGCGTTTTACATATTTATGTTTATAATATTTATTAGCTTTTTTTTAAACATACAATTTTTTCTCTCTTTAATTACATGTTTGTAAAATGTCTCACCTGTGGCATTTGCTGTAGTTTTTATGTAGCGAATACTGTTCTCCTTCAACGCTTTTATTAAAGAATTATCACCTGCCATCTCTGTAGGATGTGGTTTAAAGACAAGTTCAATTTCGTTAAGCATCAAAGGTTCACTAGGACCTTCACCTTCAGTGTCAACCATGGAGTCACCACCGCCAGTCTCGGCTTCTGCGCTGGAAGAATCATTCTCAGAGTTTTGTAAACTTTTTTGCCGTTTTGATGGTTTTGGGATTTGATTTGCAGGGTTTGGCGATGGTGTGGTAGAGTTTCTAGAGGTTGTTCCTAGATAAACATAAAAGTAATTGATGTAAAATAAAAATTACAAATTTATACACACTGTTACAAACTTGGCTGAGAAAGGCTGAGGCTATTTCTAGATTGAGAAACAATGTTGGTACTCTGAGCAGTCTTACCTCCGCTATTCAGAGGTCCTGTAGCACTCTGAGAGGAATCACTTTGATTTGCTATATTTGTAGATGGATTTGGTGTGGTAGGTGCGCTAATATTTGGTGTATTGTTATAAGACGTCGCGTTGCTTGCATTTTCAGATTCATTGGCGTTCTTTCTCGAACGTTGCGGACGATTCTGACTTTGTAGCTTAATACCTTCCGTAATAGAGTTAACGAGTGCAGCTTGTGAATGTGACTTATTCAATTTAGCCAAAACTCGTTCCTGATGAGCCTCGTACTCGTCTCTGCTCGGATAGATCTTTGAGATTAACAAGTCAAAGTTTGGATCTGGTCTGAGAGATCTTTTAGAAACCAATTTCTTCCTGCATGTAGGACATTCCTGTAAGTAATAGCGCAAAAGTATAAAAATAGTGCATTATTAATAGCACAAACAAATTCCCTGTATTTCAATGTACAATAAATGGCACACTACTTGTAAAAAATAGTATCTATTTTTATTGGAGATACACAATCGTATTACGTAATGTCATGATCATAAAATTATTATGGCAAGTCTAATTTTGTTACCGTTTTATGCACATGGAAAAAAAACCGTTGCAACGAAAATACAGCTCTTTATATTCCCATAAACAAAAAATAAACTAATGACATATACGCGCATCCTGCATTGTATGTACATATTATACGAAAGATTTACAGGCAAATACAAATCGCAGATAGGAAAAATACGAAATGGTATTATCCACAGCGTTATACATAAACATAGTTTGTTGTTATGTCAAGAACGTACTTTGTTACCACTCCGTAAAGCCGTAATAATACAGTCGGAACAAAAACGGTGGAGGCACTCCTTGGTGGTCATAGTCTTTTTCAGCATATCCAGACAAATGGGGCACATGAGCTCGCTGTGCAAACTCCGCGGACTGACCGCGATCTCCGTATTGTCGGTGATCGCATCCTGCGGAGTGCGGTGTAACTCGTAGAGCGATAATTCCCATGTCTTGTTGAGGCCGACCTGTTCCGCGGATGCCATCTTGGATTACATACGAAGTAGTGACTGTACCAAACAATTCAGACTGTACACAACGCGACGCTCGCTCCGTATCCTCGCAGCAGTCGGTGGCGGCACTAACGCCTCGAACGCAGGAACGAGTTTCACGTTTCCATTCCATGGTAACTTTGCCGCACATGCGCATATACACGCGACACTTGACTGCTCCGAGCGCGGTTCTTGGGATCTTGATTCATTTCGTAAGTTTTTTAAATTTATATGAGTAATTGTATACATTTTTTTACTTTTATGAGATTATGTTTGTGATAAATATATAAGGCCAGTTTTTATAGCTGAACTGCTGCACTAGTTCACAGTTTATTTAAAAAAAATAAACTCTGAACTAGCCAGTTAATTCAGCTATAAAAAAACAGACCTATAGTGTCAATTGAATATCACTTAAAGCACATATATCATTAATAATAATTATATAAATGCAGCAGAAAAATTTATCAATCTTTTGCTATAATAAATTAATTTCTTACGAGAAATTGGCATTCTTAATTGATATTTATTATTTAATGTTGGTACTTAGTGCAATAATATAAGCCAATTATAAATGCA